GCATGGATTCATGGTATCTGGTTTGACGATGACTCTAACGTATAAGAATCAATTTGTGGCTTTAATGCCCCAAGAACAACGTGAGGAAAAAGAACTCCATATCCATCCAGCCAATACTTTTGGATTAAAGGAATCTCTTCTACAAGAGTTTTTGGAAAAGATCATGACATCAAACCCTAGATCTTTGACTATGGATGCATACTATATAATCAAATTTCCTTGCGCACTACAAAAACACATAGCATGCAGCTGCTTCACAAGCAATCCATTGGTAAAGACAAAACCTAGGTCACGAATTTTGCCCGATTTGCAAACCGCAAAAAATGTTTACATGGTTAGAATCTTAATGAAAGTGGTTTCAAAATGAAATTTAAACATTGCAAGTCATTTTAGTGGTTATATTGATCATTCATATAATCTCTTTATGGGAAAACTTCCTTCTTTTCCAAGTTTTCGACGCGTTTGTGACGATGCATGTGTTAGAAAACACAGCCCAAATCAAGTGAGTATGATGGATGGATATATATTAAAAAGCAAATGATATAGATAGAGAGATATGATAAATAACAGTTAGGGTTCATTTTCATTTCCCATGTGGTTTGAAAACCCTAACCAAATTATTATAGCTTCACTTTTGTATGCGTATAACAAAATATGTTGTATGGTGCACCAAACTTTCATAATGATCTCAATCATGTTAATTACGTAGAGTGTATAGATATCACAATTCCACCAACTAACCATTTGCAGTCTCGATCACATGTGAAAGGAGGCGATGAGCTTATGCCAATTGTGTTCTTTAATTTTCGCCAAAATTAAATCTGTAAAGTGGCCGGAAGAGGTGATGTTACTTTTTAGCAGGAAAATTTCATATCAAATATATAATAAGAAATATATAATAAAGAAATATGTGAGTTAAATATAAGAAATATTACTCTACTTATTGCCAATTGATTTTAAGTTGGATACAACCCTTATATTGAAACCCACATATATAATTTTCATATGATATTAAAGTTTAGGTTATGTCTTGAGAAATTTGTTGTTAAGTTACTTAACAAAATCTGAAGAATTAGTTCATGTGATAAGATTCAACATTTATATCGAACCTACACATTAGAAAGTGTGTTGAGTGGAAAAATATTTATATAACAAAGTGGGTTAAATGTAAAGCCACCTATTGTGAATTGATTTTATATTAGATACAAACTGAGAAAATCCTTATGTAACAAAGTGGGTTAAATATAAGACCATCTATTGCTAATTGGTTTTACATTGGATGTAATTTTTATATTAAAATTCACATGCACAATTTTTACAATTACAACCACCAAAGGAATTATTGGGGCAACATAATATATGGCATATATGTTCAATTTATATGATTTTATTAGTTTATAATTATTAAGGTATTTGAAAATATTATTTTATAAGTTAACTTTAAATTATTAAATAATAAATATCATATATTTTATGAACAATTATAGATATTAATTACTCTTAACAATTAAATTAAATGTAATTGTATTTTGTTTTTGTATGGTCCGTAACAATTCATTCGGTGGCTATAATCATGGCTGCCAGAAGAGGGAGGAAATTAGCCCTTTCTTGTGGCATAACATATGCTCGGTTTTTTGGATGATAAACTTTAGTTTGGCACCTAATAAAAAGGGGGTTATGCTAATTAAAAACATTGAACAGAAACTATTAGTCGTCGTCCGACTGGGAAAAAAAAAGTGTTAGATACCTAACAAGTAATGAACTTTTGTCACAGAGATGTTGTTCTCTTCCAAAGTAAAAGGAAGCTTTCATAAAAATGTTAGGCCTTTATGTATATACATTCAAGAACCTTGGGAAAAAAAATTGATAAAATATCAATTACAATAATCCACCCATGCTTTAAATTTGATTAAAGAGAAGTATCTTTACCTCACTTTAATATACCTTTTGCAAAGTAATCAAATTTTCTTATATGTTCATTGCTTAGATTAATGCATTCGGGCCGGGATTAATCGAATGTGCCTTTAATTTGAAAATAGCATGAAAAGAAGGTTTTGTTGAGATATCCCCAAGAAGAGAATAAAGGTCATTTTACTTTTGTTGAGCTTTTCTTCTATGGATAACCATTAATGAAGAAGGTGGAAAAAGGCATCAAAATATTATGGCATATATGCATAAAAGATGACCGATAAAATTCAGAAGAACAATATGAATGGCACATGGAAATTTACATGTTTTCCACACATATATTTTTGGTTAAACATATCAATCAGCATGGAAAAGGATTAAAGTCTCTATTCGGTAAAGGGGAAAATGAATCAATGGAAAAAGGGAAAAAATTTTGATAATAAAATTCATGGAAAAGAAAAGAGGAAAAAAAAAAAGGGGGGAAATCACAACAAAGAGGGGTATTTCTTATCGTCCCTACAGAATAAACGAGAAAAGAAAGGAGAAGAAAATCAATCAATTTAAAGTCTATATATGACATTGCAATGCATAGGTAAAGTAATCAATTGAAGTCTTAAAAAAATCCTAAATTTGATTTAGATGTTGTTAAAGGGATTAATATTAGTGTAGAAATATTTTTGGTCGGACAATTTGCCACCAAGGAAATCCCGGGTAAGAAATCAATGAATTCTTGAGAGTCATTACCAAGACATGAACTCAATGGAGCAGTCTTGTATGCAGGGCATTTGTGCCACTTTCCATCCCGTTTTTCAATTCAACTCTTCCTTTCTTCTTCCTTTTTCGGTTTTTTTAGTCGTATTTAACTTATTTTCTCTTCTTCTCAATTCAAAGGAAAAAGGCATGGTTTTGTGGCTAGAACTGGTCCCAAAATATAGAGCCTTCGGGAGAGGTCCCATGTTTCTTTTTCATCATCATCTTTTTTTTTTTTTTTTAAACTAACAAATTTAAAGTTTTTTTCATTAAATTAGATGTATAAGAGATATTGTAAGCACTATATTAAAAAATAATCAAGTTTCTCTCCAAAGCTTTATACATGGAAGTGACCCCAAGTGGTTGATTCAGTTATTTCCTCATCAAAGTGATGTTATGTTTGATTAATTAATTAATTAAAGATGGCTTGTAATGAAAGGATTAAATGTTAAATTCAGTCCATCAGACTTTAAATTGAACAAATTTTGTCGGTTAACTTTTTTTTTT